TTAATAACTTTTTACCCTGTATATTTAACATGAAACTTGATTCAAAACCTGAAAGAGCTATCATTTTTCCATTAATTATGTACTCTCGTTTCATTTCGGTATCTCGATCCGTTTTCGAGAAAAATCGATTTAACGAACACTATGTTTTGATAATACGAGAAATTAAAAGCGAAACAAACCAAGTGTTTCTTCGTGTTATTACAACAATTAACAATAAAACAAATGAAATTCGTAATAATGATTTAAAGTCAGTGTTCGAAGAATCCACCGTTGACATTTACACACTTTACACAACGTTTTCTGAGAGATCTTCGAGTTTGAAACAACATATTGGGATTGCGTTTGACTTCGTTGGCAGCGATTTGTATTCTTTGCCACAACTCTTCACACGAACCAATAGATTCTTCCAAATAGAAAAATGAAGAGGATTGAAGTCCGGACTTCTGGGTGGCCAAGTAAAAATGCTTCCACGGCTTGAAGAAGTTCCACTTTATTTAAGAAGAGACATGTGGTTCATGCACGACGGAGCTCCACCGCATTTTTCTTGGCCAGTGCGTGCATATTTAGATGCAGTTTTTCCAAATCGCTGGATTGGCCATGTAAGCATTTTTGCTTGGCCATCCAGAAGTCCGGACTTCAATCCTCTTGATTTTTCTATTTGGTCTCGAATGAAAGATATAGTTTACAAAGAATCTATTGGCTCGTGTGAAGAGTTGTGGCAAAGAATACAAATCGCTGCCAACGAAGTCAGACGCAATCCCAATATGTTGTTTCAAACTCGAAGATCTCTCAGAAAACGTTGTGTAAAGTGTGTAAATGTCAACGGTGGATTCTTCGAACACTGACTTTAAATCATTATTACGAATTTCATTTGTTTTATTGTTAATTGTTGTAATAACGCGAAGAAACACTTGGTTTGTTTCGTTTTTAATTTCTCGTATTATCAAAACATAGTGTTCGTTAAATCGATTTTTCTCGAAAACGGATCGAGATACCGAAATGAAACAAGAATACACAATTAATGGAAAAATGATTGCTCTTTCAGGTTGTGAATCAAGTTTCATGTTAGACATACAGGGTAAAAAGTTATTAACTAAATTTTCGGTAAAATTGGTCGTAACTGGCGCCCTCTATGAGCAACGCTGAATTTAAAACGCGCATCTTATTCGTTGTCCAAAAAAATATAGTTTCACAAATTTTCAAGTTCCTAACCTCCACATTTAAAGAAAAATCGCAAAAAAACTATTTAAAATTTTAACTTTCAACACCGTGTATTTCCGAAACTATCAACTTTCGGATAAGGCATGTTTGCGCCAATGGTCACCATTTCACGTGTAGTATCTTCAGCCTTCGACTTTCCCATTGTTAATTAATCACCCTGTATATGAATGTTTGAAAATTGAAAATAGTGAACAATGTGATAAAAAAGTTAGGAAACGTATTAACGAATTAACTAAGATATCAAAAACGACAATTTATCGCGTAATTAAAGGATTGATCACGGTACAAAGAGGAAACGGAAAAATACAAAATTTAAGAAAATTGACGATTTTACCGGATGTAATGCGGCGCACAATTTATGATATGTATAAAGAAAATAAAGTTCCTACTTTAAACATGATTCGAGATAAATTAAGTGATTATTCTGATTATAATTATAAATCTTTACATATTTTACAACATGCTTTATTACAATGCAATTTTAAACATAAAAAACTTTACAATCGTATGGTAATTATATGGTAATCTCGGAATATAGTATATCTAGACGAGACAGGGCTAAATTTTTCTGGACATCTATGGATACCGTAGAATTTATGAGTTAATTATTTTTATGCGGTTCCAACTTAGATCGTAACAACTATAATACTGAAGTATTTAGCCTCAAAAATATATATACATATATCAAATTTTATTGCATTACATTGTTTTCCGGAACAGATATGGCTAAAATTTGATTTAAACAAATCCTATATGACGCACTATATCTCAAAAACTGAATATGATAGGCTCTTTGTCTCTTGTCTGTTTGTATTAGCTCTTGAATTTATAGCACTTTTTTTCAAAACACTATATAGGGTACTAAAATACTACCAAACTTTAATGGCAAGTTCTAAGTCAAAAATCAATAAAAAAAGAAATTCATCTGAATATGTGTCTGAAAAGGCTTCATTTTTTAAATACGAGGTGGAGGAAATCTAGACAAAATTTATATTTGTTTAAATTATAAGAAAGGATGAAGAACTTTATTCGAATTTAGCGTGTAAAGACTACAAAAATAGGCTCTTGCAGCAGGTCACTAGAATTTACCGTTATCAAGAAAAGATAAAATTTCATGACCAGTAAAGATAATCTAAACGTTACCATGAGTTTATTTCTGAAAATAATGATAATAATAATTTAAGCAATGATATTATCCATTAATTATAAAAAAAATTAATTTAGTAGTCGTTTTTTGGTCCAATTATTGAGTGGAATTCAGTGATGTACGGTATATTTTTCTATAACTTCTGGTTTAATGTAAATGTTCTGAATTCAACTGTTTTATAATCTAATTCAGTCTGCTGTGCTATGCTGTTTCATCGATATATCTATGGTATACAAAAAAAATTACAATTTTTTTTTGCACGAATAGCACAGATATCATGTGAAAGGAAATTTTATGCAAACAAAATATCAAAAAATACACAGTGTTATAAAGGAGGTAGTTTCCTTCAACTAAAAAGAAAATGGAAATGTCCATTTCTTGAAGGTACTTACATATTTTTAGTGCAGGAATTAGTTAATTTATATCAGTAATTTTTATCTTATTTTATCTCGAGAAATTTTATTTTACTTGTATGTATACACTACTCATGATGATCTCTTAGTTAATTGAAGGACATGCAAGGAAACCGTCATAGTGGGATTGTGCGATATCTCACAAATTTGACGATTTTTCACTGCAGTAGATTAAAACATTTTAAAAGACTTCAGAATGCATATTGTATTTTCATAAAACAGAAATAATATGGGTCTCATATTTTTTAACTTATTCTCTTTCCGTGATGTTGAAAATTTGCAAACACCCCATTCACTGTCATAAACACATTCATATGATTGGACAAAAAATAACATATCCAATTTTAGCACAGTACAGTAACTTCCCAGGAGTAAACAAAATTACTGTTAGACATTGGCAATCCAATTCACTTTAATAAATACACTCTGTTTGTTAATGACAGTATTTAGCTTTCGAATTACTACGATCTTCAAAAAACTTGCGGTGCTGCGTAAAATGGAGGCCAGTAATAAATTTATATTACTGTTTCTGTCTGATACAGAGTCTCCATAAATGTTTACAAGCCATATGACCACCGAACTTAGTCAACCAGCATTGCAGAACTAATACTAGCTTTCTTCGCAGAACGCAATTTGCAACCGATTGTCACTGCGCATGTGCGGTATCAAACTGATTTCCAACCGATTTCAAATTTTGTGCTCGGTGAACAGATTAAAAATGCTGGAGTGAATCGTGACGGAATGACCTATAAATATTTATTTATTTCAAATTTATGTTTATGACCTACTTTTAACACATTCATGGTCTGTTTGTTTGTCAAAGTAGTGTATCTATGTTTTCGAGCGACCTCTAAAAATAAATATCAATGAACCAATAATTTTTTTTTATTGAATTTGATGAACAAAAGAATAGAAATAAATCATGACACTTAAATTTTAAAAAATTATAAATATTTGATACTCACAGTGCGGTAGTAAATTTTGCCTCAAAAGTTTTTAAGTGTCTCGTGATTTATTTCTATTTTTTTGTTCATCAAATTCAATAAAAAACATTTATTAGTTCATTCATATTTTTTTTAGCACAGTGGGAAATATTGGAAAAAATTCTCGCAACTCGCCAATTTTCATCGTCTCATGATTTTTTTTTTTAATAATCTCGTAATCTGAATTTTCATATTCCGGTGAGGTTTTTCGAAAAACCCTTTTTTTAATGCTTAGGGAGCGCCCCTTATTATGACCCTTGATGATATATCTGATGTTTTTTCTTCAAAAACCTAACTCCAAATATATCATCAAGGGTCATAATAATCAATTTTTATTAATAGCAGATACTTTTTAAAAATTTTTTTCTACAACTGAACATCGAGTATTTAAAAATGTTTTCTTCGACATTGAGGTTGGGGCGCTCCCTAAGCATTAAAAAATAAAAAAAGGGTTTTTCGAAAAAACCTCACTGGAATATGAAAATTCAGATTAGATTATTAAAAAAAAAAATCACGAGATAATGAAAATTGGCGAGTGGTGAGAATTTTTTCCAATATTTCCCACTGTGGGTCGCTCGAAAACATTTTAGGTACACTACTTTTAAATTTAAAATAATTATGAGTGACCTTTAGAAATTAAAATATCGATTTGAAATTTTCAGTTCGAGATTTTTTCCAACCTAGAAAATGATAAAATAACAAGCAAAAAAATTTTAAAAAAAATTCAAGTTTTGACGATTTTGGAAATTTTTAAAAATCTAGAGCGATCTCTAAAAAAATTTTTTTTGAGCTGATTTTTTGAGGGGGCTCTTAAAACATGATAAACTAACATATTTTCACAAGAGACACAAAAAAAGTCAGGAGTCACGGATTATCGCTGTGCGAATGCTTTTGACCTATCACGCATGTGTGGTACAGTTGCCGACAGTTTCCGACTGCTGTGCAAACAAAGCTACTGTCAACGGAAAATCCTTAAATTTTAGCATCACCAATATTAATGTTTATTCATTTACAATGAACAATGACAAACCGTTACGTCTACGCTCGAAATAATGCTCTTTGATTGGTTGAATAGTATCTCAAAAATTACACCAATCACCAGCGTGTGAAACAGAATGTTGTTTTTTAATGCACTCTTGATCTTACTGTTTTAATAATTTTTATTTTACTAAAATCTTATTGTCAACATGAAGGCTCTGTATAATGGTATATCTTAATGGTCTTTAAAAAAAAAACTTTGTTTCAAATGCATATATTAATGATATGCAAATACAGGTAATAAACCAATTATAAAAAATATTTGGAAACTAACAAATGTGGCACAACATCAATATCCCTATACCTTTGTATCACTTTGTAAGATTTTGTTCAAAACCAACAAATCAGGGGTTATGTATACAAATAATACCAATAGGGTAGGACTTATAACAGCACAATATAAACATCTAAAATTTTATAAAATAGTAACATCTGTCATAAATTTATATTGGCTTGGTCAGTTTTGGGAATCTCTCAGGTATTCTGCCCTAATTATATACTAATTTTATTCAACATCCTAACCATGACACTATAATCCTAGTCTAGAAATAAAATTATATAAATCAAGAGATTGCAACGGGGGTCTGGTTAATAAAATATCGGATCTAAAAGAAAATCTTGGCTATTCCAATTTCAATTAAAATTTTTAGTCTTCAGAGGATCACATTCAATAATTATTTACTACTACGAAAGCCATAAGTTACTTAAAATGCAATAGTAAAACATTAACTTATCTTAAAAGTTAACAGGAACACACAACAATTCTACGTGATGAGAATTCATCGAACGAAAAGGAATGGACATTAAAACAATCTCTTCTCATATGAAAATAAGCTGTGGACGTTACCCTCCAATTGAGCCGAGTGGGATCTCAACTCAAAGCGGAGTTCCCCATCATACATCATTTCTCTGCAAAAAAAAAAACAGTATGTCTAAATGCAAATGTATGAATCAAAATAATTCAGTATTTTCTTTAAATCGTCTTATGATATAGAAAACTAAAACTATGCCATAAATAAATAACTTTGAACAATATAAAAAATGATCGGTACAAACGATACTAATTAAAAAAAAAAACATTAAATATTTTGAAATCATATTATAAATCTTCAAAGAAATTAGCTACTATCCTTGTTTCTAATATATAAAACGCAGAAGTAGGTACATGTATTAATTAATATCATGGTTGAGTTTCACACCGTCTTTGTTCAAAGTGTTCATTGAAGGTTTGTAATACTAATGATTTAAATATGTCAGGCAGGTGACTTTCTTTCAGTAGTACTAAACTTTACTAATTATACTATACTTTAAGGGGTTATATCGCTTTGAAATAATTTTTTTTCCAATAATTTTTTTCAGCTTAAAGTACACTAAAACATTCCTAGATTCATAATAAAAAACTTTTTTGCATGAAGAAAACTCAGAAATATCCGTAAAATTAATCCAGTCCGGACCTGAACCGCGCCACGGTCCGCCAGTTGCCGATCGCTGTTATACAGGGCTCCAGGGCTGGAAAATCCACATGGTTCATCTGCCTTTATATGAGAGCGACAAAGTAAAGTAAAGAAATCCGTGCGATAGACAAGGATGGTTATATTGAAGACGTTTCATAATCTGAATAGTCACTCCCACTTCTAACCCAAAATGGGCGGTGACTTCAGATTATGAAACGTCTTCACTATAGACATCCTTGTTTATCGCAGGAATTTCTTTGTTGCTCTCATGTAAAAACAGATGGACCATGTGGATTTTCCAGCCGGGTATACTGAATATAAGATTTTTACGATGGTTAGAACACGTGCGTCGTCAATCAGCTGTACGCTGTAGTTCGAGTTGTGCTATTATTGTGTTTGTGTTATTATTTGACTTTGTTGATTTGTGTGCAGTTATGAAATATGGGTGATAAGTTGTATGCAGGCCGTAAAGGCAGTATAAATCGAAGTACACCCCGTAAACGAAGTAAAATTGGAAGTAGACGTCTGCCTAACCATCATTCATTCGAGTGCGATCCGGAGTTTGTGAGCGCGTCGGCAAAGAAACTTAAAACTTGATGATGATAAGTGTGAAAGAAAAGTAAATGTGTCTTTTGGGTATCATTTCATTGATTTCATGACCATGAAAAGAGCAGGAAGAGCAAAATATAGCCATGGAAGGGCAATTATATGATGCCCGGATAGCAGTGATAAAAAAAAAATTATGCACCATATTATTATGATTTGCAAAAGTTACAGCATTTTCAAACTTCAAACGCGTTTTTCCTGAAACCATGTTTTTGAAATCGGCAGCAGCAGAACTCGAAGAGTTTTTATCCGATCGACTTGAAAATTGAACTGTAACACTTCATCATATGATTATCTACTGAAGTACACACGATTTTTACAATTGGTCAACAGTTTTTTTTTATAAACAATCAGTCGATTTTTTTGTCAAAAATTCAAATTTTTTATTCAAGATCTCACCAGGTTGCGAAAAAAATCCCTAAAATTATGATCGTGTGTACTTCACTAACTAAACTCATGTAGTTTATGACAACAATTTTTTATGCTTCCAGACGGTGATCCAAGGGACCAAGGGACTTCTGCTACTGTTCGCTGCAGAGGACCTTTGAAAAATTTTAGTGTTGTTCATGCGCTCTATAGCCACCATTTTGCAATAAATTTATCGATTGGTGTATTGGTTGTTCATGATTATTATAAAATAATGCTCAAAACAAATTCTTGAAAAAAGCCTTTTCTCAGGCTCCAAAGTGATATAACCCCTTAAACATTTCAAACAATTATTAATGACTAGCTTGTCTATGGAGTTCTCTTTATCGTGCCATATCACACTATAACATTTGGTGTCAAAGAGTATAAACTCATTTGATGAGAATTGAAATTAGGAAAATTTTTGGAATAGGCAACCAGCAATACATTTTTATAGATTTTATTACACAGTTTGTCTCAATATGAATCAATGCACAAATAACAGACTTTCCTCCATTCTAACACAGATTTTCTATAAAAATGGAGTTTATTTGAAATTCATGTTACTTTTTGTTGTAAAGAAATTTGTAATTTGCCGAAAATGTAATTGAAATGTAAATAAACCTAAATTATGATAATTTTTGGAACCGATTCAATTTTTGTTACACTATTTGTATATTTCAGTGCTTACCTCAACTCATTCAACGATTTGGTGCCAATATCTTGGCAACCATGTCTAATACCACACTGTAAATATGGAACGAACCTCAATACTGAACCCTTATCAACAATACTGCCACTGACGCCTTGAGCTACTTTTAATTTATCAACCTCGCTGAAAGAAATAGAAAAAAATTATTATCAGACAAACCCAATGCTAATTTGACATACTTATGGAAATATCTATTCATAGCAGAACCCATGGCATCTTTACGGTCCATGGCTTCTATGCTACCCATTCCGCGGTATTTCTTAAGTCTCACACCGTCTGAAAAGAAATACTCTCCAGGTGCTTCAGAAGTACCGGCTAACAGGGATCCCATCATAACTTAGAAAAAAAAAACTATTAAAATACCACCAATTTACCAACAAATTTTACTTACCCGTTGAAGCTCCTAGAGAGAGGGCTTTGATGATGTGTCCGATTGACTGAATACCGCCATCCGCGATAACAGGTATACCATAATCCTTAGCATATTCACTAACTTTGTATACAGCTGTAGCCTGTGGACGGCCTACAGCCATTACTTCTTGGGTGATACAAATGCTTCCACTACCCATCCCTACCCTTAAGGCATCTGCACCCGCGTCAATGAGATTCTTCGCTTGTTTCTTAGTCACAACTGCAACAAAATAGAAAACATTTGCAATTTAGACATATTTAAAAATAAATATATTTTATTTGCATAATCTACATTACACCGGATAACCCAAACCCAAGCCCAAACCATAGTTACTATTTTAAAGTTAAAGTAAGTATTTCAAATTAACGTCAGTAACGTTATATTGGAGATAAAATTTCATAAGCAATCTATTTTGCTTCGGTTTGAAATTAATTCTAAATACTTGCTGTTTACGTTAAAAAAGTCAATTTTGGAGTTAGTGTATTTAATTACGTTTTTTGTGATTCCGTTATGTATATAAAAATGCACAAGTACAAATGGTGATTAGTAAAAATTTGTATTTTGGTTAAATTTTGATGAAATACAAGTGATTAAATTGTAATTTGGATCAAATTAAAGAAAAGATATAGGATATCTCTAAATTCTAATAAGTATGACCACTTCCTGTTGAAGTGCGTCATAAAAAAAGGGATTTGTTTTTGAAATGTGTCCCTTTCTTGACTATTTTAAATGCTCTAATTAATATTGGAAGTGATGCATTTGGAAGTGGTGCATTATTATAACAATTTTATTTTAATGCAATTTAAAATTTTTAATATATGGTTGATAAGGATTTTTTAAACATTAAACTATATAAAACGGTTATAGGGGTGACTATACTAGTGATTATAGATTATGTTTAAATGTATTAATATTATAAGTGACATGTTATTCTAATGATTTTGTTACAGTACTGATTAAAGTTTTTTAAATAAAAATTAAATTCTTACCTTTTTGTGCTTTGGGTTTATAGCTTGTAAAACGTTTTTTTAATATATTTTACAGCTAAAAAATAATTTATAATTTTGAGCATCAATAGTATAATTCTTAACAGCATTTACTTATAGTTAATATATCAATAAATAGTGATAACACTTCCATAGTTTGTAGCAACTAAACAATAGTTGCTGCGTGCATGTCATGTTTTTAGAGTCAAATGGTTTAAATAATAAATTTACGATAATGGGATCGTTTTTGTGCATAAAATTCTATGTAAACTGTTACATAAACATAAAATATTCTTAAAATAGTCAATAAATAGCATTACTTTTTCCTTTATCATGTTTCACTGGAATTCCTTAAACATAGTATTAAAGGAGCTGGAATAATGATGTACTTGCGTTTGAAACTGATAATTCGAAACAATTTTGGATAAAATGATAAAAAACCAAAAATTGTCATAGATTTTAAATAATTTAGGAAAAATTTTTCAAAATTAAACAATTTGAAATGTCGCGAGTAACAGAATAATAAAAAAAATATAATTAAATTTTTGTGGGCTTACCATTTCCTGCAATGACTTGCAGATTTGGATAATGACTCTTGATAAATTTAATCATTTGAATTTGATAAATGGAATTTCCCTGTGAAGAATCCAAAATAACGACATCGACGCCAGCTTGTACTAGAAGTGCCAGTCTAGCCTTATCCTCTTCCCGAGTTCCCAGAGCTGCACCTACAATCAACTGCTTGTTTTCATCTTTAGAAGCGATCGGATAGCTTTTCGCTTTTTTCAAATCGGTGCGAGCCATCAAAGCTATGAGACTTCCTTGGTTGTTTATGATGGGTAGTTTCCCTTTTTTACTCTTCTCCAATATGTGGTTCGCATCGGTTAGTGTCACTCCAGATGGCGCCGTGACTAGATCGTCCAGCTTCGTCATAATGTTCTCTAATTTTATATTCTCATAATTTTTGCCTTCGAGGAAATCAATATCGCGACTTGTTACGATGCCTACTAATTTCCCGCCTAGTTTGCCATTTTCCGTTATGGGAATTCCACAAAAACCGTGCTCCTTTTTCACGGTAAGTACGTCAGAAACAGTGTTTGACGGACAGAGAACAACAGGATCATGAATGAAGCCATGTTTGTACTTTTTTACTTTAAGAACTTCATTAGCTTGATAGCTGGGTAAGCAGTTGTGATGGATTATTCCTATCCCTCCACAAAGCTGTAAAAATATGATTTCAGCCTTAGATATAAAGGGTTACCATGTGCACTAAAATTTTTATAATTAATTTCTCAAATATTACTCGGAGGTAAAGAAAAGTAGAAAAAGGGGCGACGGCGGCTTTTGATTTACGATAATAGACGTTTTATGAAACTTCGTATTATTTACTGTAAAAAAAAGTGTAGCCGTTACATGTTGCAAAAATACATAATTTTAGAGAAGAATTGATTTCAATTTTCTACGTCCATTTGTTCAAGTGAGAACTATTTGATGACCACCGAGAACTAAAAGTATATAAATTCCTCCGATTCATTCGATACGCTAAACCAGTAGTTAATTTAAATTAATTACATCTTGCATGAAAACTATCGAGAACTAAAAGTATGCGAGTACTTTCAGCGACTATCCGAGAACAGAGAGTACTTTTAAGAATTGGATAGTACACAATTTTTCATTCGAATTCTCCCAACGCTAATAAAATTACAACGATTTATGTATAACTTACCGCCATAGCGATGGCCATATCTGCTTCTGTTACAGTATCCATTGGGGAAGAAACAAGGGGAGCTTTAAGGGTAATTTTCTTAGTAAGTTGGCTTGAAAGATCCTAAAACACAAACTGTAAAGTTGAAGTCTAATATATTACTTTGTTACTTACAACATGATCAGCGGGAAAATCAATGTAGCCAGGAAGAATGATAAAATCGCTAAAAATTAAATAAGTGTTTCGAGGATAATTCAAAATAAATATTATATACATACTTGTAAGTTAGTCCATTCCCTCCATTAATCATTTGATGTGCTGTTAAGCCATCCTCAAGATCTATGTTATTTACACAGTTATTTTTCAAGTTGTTGAAGTCACCCATCTGCAGAAAACAATGTAACATTAATCTACAGAAATAATTAAATGTTTTAATTTAATGTATTTGCAAATATTAACATATCAAAAATGCATAATTTCGCAAACTAAAAATATACGCCTCAGATTAGAGCGTCCAGTTAATATTGATTTAAATTTATACCTACAATTTGTTCAGGTTTAATTAAATAAACCGGTCACTTCTACGTTTTCAATCTAGGAAACACGTGGAGAAAGATGCAAAATGAACAAGTAATTGTATTTTTAACAAATGGTACTTACATTTGATTGTTCCTTATTGTATCCGAGAAGTATTGTTTGTTAAATTTGTCATACACGTGGTGGAAGAGTTAGGTTAGCTTCTAGTAAAAAAATCAATACATGTACACCACAATTAATGCGATCGACTAATTTGCAAAATAATATGTGTACGATTAATGCTGTTTACTTTGGAAAAGTACACTTTTTATGTTTAAAAATGTCTTTCCTATTTCTTTGTTTTCAAGAAGCCGCGTGCCGCGTGTAAAACTTAACTACTGTGGCAACTAGTGATGGGACTACTCGAATGAAAATTATCGATTATATCGATTATGAAAATCTNTAACAAAGATGCCGACGGCGTCTATGCTTAAGCCGGGGATTAGGTCGGTGATTAAAAGGAAAGAAAGGGATTCTTTCCAGGTAGCCTTAATAAAGGCAGGTAGAATTTGCTCCTTGCACTGCACTTTCACAAAGCACGTGTGCTCTGGTCGGCTGCCCGCTAGGAACTGTTTTCCGATGAACAGTCCGTGATTAATAAAAAACAATAGATCCATTTATATTCATAGTAGCAGACAGTGTTGCCACCAACTGTTAGGAAAATGTATAATTCGCCTGACCAAATTGTACTAGATGATAGAAAAATGTACTAAACAGAATTGAAGTCGTCAGGATCAAGATGTATAGAGGAATAATATTTTCTTTACCTACATAACATCTTTCGATCGTTGATAAATTGATTATGATTACTGATAACTTGCCAGGAAAAGTAGATTTCATACATATGTATATGCAGTTCATGCAGCGCATCTATACTTCTTCTTCTTCTATGTATTGACCTTCGTCCAGTGGACATTTGGTCAGCTTCTGTAATTATAGTTCCGTGTTCTTACAAAATACAAATTTGGTGGATATGAATAACTTAAACATATTATGTCTCCATGCATATTATTGTCAAATGCAGGGAGACTATAGTCTCCATGGTCAAATGTATCAAACGTGACAAATGTCAATGAGACGTCAAAACGTTGTTCTGGCCAAAATCGCGCCATCTACTGGCAGGTGACAAGTGACTCTCCTATTAACCACAAATAACACCTGACAAAAAATGTTTATTTTCATAATAAACTTCTTATTAAAAAATAATGTCTTGTTCTATATAAAATATATTTTCCATAAAAACAGTTTTACACTTATTTAAATAAAATCTAAATAATAAAAAACAAATTATTCTCAAAACTAAAATCACAGAACAGTCACATTAGAAATAAAAAATACCTACTAATGATAAAGAATAAGTACAATCAACACATTCTTTAAATAATAAAAAATAAATTATTTTCAGAAAATAAAGTCACATAAATGTCACATTAGAAATGATATACTAATGATAAAAAATAGAAACAAACATCGGTTATAGTACAAATAAATACATGGTACCTATGTATTACACACACATAAACGATCTTATTTATTTGTAAGCATAAAAAATGTCTTTCCGAAGTAAGGACTGACTAGGTTTCCACTCAAAGCAAGGAGTCTTGCCAAGTAAACCTTTTGCCATTAGAAGCGAATTACATGTTTCAGGTAACAAGCGATTTCGTAATTTAGTCTTGATAAGACTTAATTGAGAAAATATCCTCTCAGCTGATGCACTGCTATGAGGAAGACTCAGTACATTAAAAACAAATTCACATACATTAGCAAATATATTCTGATCCAATGAATTCTTCATAGAATATAATTCGAACCAAAATTCAGTGAAATCTAGTATTTTCAAATTATTTTTTATAGTGTCTGGTAAATTACACAGTTCCCTACATTCTGAAGCCACTTCTTCCACATTGTCATTTAGTAAATGAGGAAATTGCTCAAAAAGTGGTGTCAAAGAAGTTGGCTTGCTTAAAAGCAAGTTTGGGTCCAGTAACTGAAAATTTTCATATTGATCAACATTTTTAAATCTTTCACGAATTTGTAAACATAGCTCTACATAAAAATTCAGACAGTTATTATAGAAAAGAGTTAAATTTTGCATTTGCAAGTAATGCTTTCTAATAAGTAGCTCAGTTTTTTGGCCCAAATAAATATCTTTATTTGATAAATACTCATGTACATTCAAAGGATTGACTTGTTGTATATTCTTTGCTCTGTCAATATAATCAGACTTCATAAAATTTTTCAGTATTGTTTTGTAAAGTGTGCTAATTCGGTTATATAATAAATATAGTTTGGGCTCCTCAGATTGAAATTCCAAATTCATTTTATTTATGTGTGGTATGATATAAGACAAAAATGTAAGATAGAGTTCCACATTGACATTATTAAATTTGTCTAAAATATTAATTGCTTTTTGCAATTCCTTTTCTTCAGCAACTTCATGTGTAAAAAACAGTTTCAGTGCTGACCATTGTTCTAAAATACGCACTACTACAGCCTAAAACAACAGCTATATATTTTATTTTCAAAATATTAAATAACTTACCTCCAACGACAACCATCGGGTTTGACTTAGTTTAAGCATCTTGTGCGGTTTCAGTTCAACAAATGCTTGAAATTCTTGATAAATATTTAATCTTTTTGGGCTTCTTGAGATATAATTATAAATATCTTGCACAAATTCTTCTATTTCTGATGGGATCTTTTTGGATGCCATAGATGCACATAAATGTAAACTATGGCATATGCAACCAATTACAAAAATATTGGGATTTATTTTCTCTTTTAATTTTGCTTGTACTCCACCAATATCGCCCATCATTACAGCAGCATTATCAGCAGCTAAACCAATTATATTTGTGGGATTTATTTTATGTTTATTTAAAAGACATATTATTGCAGTGGTAAGCCCATTTGCAGTGCAATCATTTACTTCGAGTACTGAAAATAGTTGCTCGGTGATCATCATTTTTTTTTTATCAATAAATCTTGCTAATACAGCTAAGCATTTCTTCGAAGAGATGTCAGTTGTCTCATCTATTATGATTGAAAATTTATTGGTTTTTAAATTCTCAGTGATATCAAGTTCAGCTTCATTTTTTAACATATGGATCATTTGTGTACACTTCGTCCTTGCACAATTAATATTTTTAACAATTCCTGAATCTGTGAGACAAGAATGTAGAAGCCTCGGTATATGATCCATAATTAACATTGGACAATTGTGCTCTACAACTAATCCCATTATTAACTTATATTCTGCTTCCTTAATAGAAACTGATAACCTATTATGCACTGAAGCTTCCTCCATCATTAATTTAATATTTGCTACTTTCACAATTTTTTGCGATTTCTTTTTATGACGAATATTTTTAGCATGCCTTAACAAGTGAGATATTCCACCCTCTAAAGTTTGATTACAAGTTATACATAATTTTTCACCATTTTGTAATAATTTCAACCAATTAAATTGTTTAAGCCATTCCTCTTTAAACCTTTGGGAATAAACTTTCTTCTTTTTCTGCGAAACACAAGAAAACATTATATTCATTCATAATGGTAACATTTGTTTGGCTACATAGAGCTACTTACTTTTACTCGTAACGTTTCTAATTCTTGACTCTCCGAAAGACTATCTGTATCTGTAACTGTATCTATAGACCAAGTAGATGCTGTGTGTGTAAATTGCTCCTTTGGAATAGAACTAATAGAAGGCTGTTGGGGTTCAGTTACTGATACTGTAGAGGTGGATGGTGGATAATCATCTTTTCGGTTAATTCTTGTGACAAACCTACTCATAAAACGTAAATTAATTTTCACTTCATCAGTGACTACTTACCATCTTTTTTACCTATCCATTATAAAACAAATACACTAAAGCCTGTATTGTATAATTTAATGGCTATAGATATGAAATGTAGACACTTCAAACTCCAATCACTCCCTAACCACTAACCAAGTAATGGCAACTGACAACTGACAACCACATGAGATAAGGCAGTAACGGAACAGACCATTATTTATTCTGTGGTAGTGGTTAGGTCTACCACACCATAGATCACCTAGACTGTTTCACCTTAGCAGTAGGCACAACAAAGCATAATAATGGAGTAGGCACCATTCAAGTATAGAAAAAAATTGGAATGGGAATAATCTATAATTTTTAGTTTTAGTTCAACTGGCACTAATATGTGAAATTGTACTAAATATTATAAAAATGTATTTTTGTATAGCCAAGTGCGAATTGTACTAGATTCGTACAATTGTACTAGCAGTGGCAACGCTGGTAGCAGATGCTTACTAGAGATTCTTAGAAAATTATGTTTGTCACAAGGTTTTGCTGACTATGTAATCCAGAAACAGAAATTATCAGGCAGTGCANTTTGGAAAAGTACACTTTTTATGTTTAAAAATGTCTTTCCTATTTCTTTGTTTTCAAGAAGCCGCGTGCCGCGTGTAAAACTTAACTACTGTGGCAACTAGTGATGGGACTACTCGAATGAAAATTATCGATTATATCGATTATGAAAATCTCTCGAGATATCTCGAGTGATCATATAAATTCATTCGATTATTCTTAGTCGAATGACGAATGACAGTGGCCACAGCATTACTAACGTCAATCGTCACTCGTCATCACCGAATACCGCAAACGCGCTGCTCGAGCGAGAGCACAAGTGTTTCGATTATTCCAACGCTCTAACGAGCTACAAAAACAAAACCTCGAGATAAGACGGCCGAGAGGATGGATGAGACAATCGATTATCACCGCATAAAAAAAATATGCAGTATTTTTATGAGTGGCATCGCGCGGTTTTGAAGGGCGGTTTAGAAAGGAGCTTTATTTAGCAAGAATAGAAATTCATATGAATGAAAATAATACAAAAATTATGTTTTCTATATATTTTTTTTTTCAAAAACCCAAACAATGGATCTCTTTAGGCGGCAACTACTCATTTTAAACACATGCTGATGAACCACTCAACTGACAACGAAGAAATTCCGCAATACGCTAAAGTCATTAATTCATTTTTTTTCGCATATAATTTTTGGGATAGGTCGGAAATTTTGGAAGTGGACTTTCGATTATATATCATTCGAATGATCATTCGATTATAAAATTAATTCGAAAGGTAACCTCTCGATTATTTAATTCATTCGATTATTTCCATCACTAGTGGCAACATAATGTGGCAATTTTAATTTTGCTAANATGTGCTGTTAAGCCATCCTCAAGATCTATGTTATTTACACAGTTATTTTTCAAGTTGTTGAAGTCACCCATCTGCAGAAAACAATGTAACATTAATCTACAGAAATAATTAAATGTTTTAATTTAATGTATTTGCAAATATTAACATATCAAAAATGCATAATTTCGCAAACTAAAAATATACGCCTCAGATTAGAGCGTCCAGTTAATATTGATTTAAATTTATACCTACAATTTGTTCAGGTTTAATTAAATAAACCGGTCACTTCTACGTTTTCAATCTAGGAAACACGTGGAGAAAGATGCAAAATGAACAAGTAATTGTATTTTTAACAAATGGTACTTACATTTGATTGTTCCTTATTGTATCCGAGAAGTATTGTTTGTTAAATTTGTCATACACGTGGTGGAAGAGTTAGGTTAGCTTCTAGTAAAAAAATCAATACATGTACACCACAATTAATGCGATCGACTAATTTGCAAAATAATATGTGTACGATTAATGCTGTTTACTTTGGAAAAGTACACTTTTTATGTTTAAAAATGTCTTTCCTATTTCTTTGTTTTCAAGAAGCCGCGTGCCGCGTGTAAAACTTAACTACTGTGGCAACTGGCAACATAATGTGGCAATTTTAATTTTGCTAACTACTACGTTTCTTTTTCCTTTCCTACTTTCACATCACACACAACTACCACCCTAGAACACTCACAATATAGAATTCTAAGTACCTTTTTTTACCGACGTACCACGTTCCGCCATCTCTAGTTGACAAACAGAAATATATTTATTTTAATTTATATAATATAAAAACAAAGCATAATGCTTAGGTCAATATTACAATTAATAACTTATTTTAAAATATAATCTATAGATAGCTCAAATACTAATGATTTGCTTTTTACTAATTTAGTTCTCAGATTGTCACTAAATATCAACAGTTAAATTAATTATAAATAGTTCGAAGCCGTTTCGAAATGCAAGCTCCCAGTCTTTGTTTTAAATTTCCGTTATTGGTTGTTACATAAAAGGATATTTTGAAGTCAATAAAAAGAAGACAAAATACATTTGAAGACCTTAACTTTGTCAATGTCATTGTAAATAAAATAATTTCCTGTAATATTGGCAGACCCTCCCATAGATTATTATAATCTGTGCTACCTAATTATGCTTTACTCTCTCTAACCAATCACAAATCACTAATTTAGATGGCAGGATGTCAACTCAAATGGTATCAAAATAAAAAATAGTCATGGTGGAGGTAGTAAGCAAATGGACAAGGATTATTTCAAAACACGTAATTTATATCTCTATAATAATTACTGTATTATGTAGACATTAATTACAATATTTTATTTTATTTTATTTAATCTTATATAAGCATTTATTAAATTTAGTTTTTGAGAATTTCATTTTCAAGTTAATCTTACATTTAATTAATAATGTGCAATTAAAATGATTTTTATTTCATTTGGTGCAATTGTTCAAGTGTTATATGTATAAAACAATATTGCAGACAAAGTAGTATTATCAACAGCCATTGTTTTCCGATAAACAGTCCGTGATTAATAAAAAACAATAGATCCATTTATATTCATAGTAGCAGATGCTTACTAGAGATTCTTAGAAAATTATGTTTGTCACAAGGTTTTGCTGACTATGTAATCCAGAAACAGAAATTATCAGGCAGTGCAACAAAGAAAAATTATCTAAACTTTGTATCATAATAAAGTTAATTTAAGTTCCCAAAATAATAAGTGAAATAAAGTTTTTATTTATATAAATAAATAAAAACCATATATATAAAGTTTTTATTTGTATAAATAAATAAATACTATATACATAATAATATGCCACCTATTACAGATATATTTATACATAATGCAATCGGTTATATAGCATATATAGGCAATTTGCATAGTTGCTATTTCCTCCCCCTTGTGTTACTATGGCGTACTAAATCTCTTTAGAAGCATTTATATAATTGATTTAAAATCTACAATAGTTAGTGATCTATGTTTCTTTATTTTCCTTTATAGTCATCTGTCTGTCATGGTTTTTTACAACAATGCAGTAAATAACCCCATTAACCATTTTTTCAGTAAAGGAAGCACCTTGTGGAGGTTTATATTATTCATTTTTTTACCTATTGCTATTTACAAATTTAGCATTTTGTACGGAATTAATACCTAATTATTGTTTTTTTTATTAAGGAGGTAGGAAGTTATGTAGTTAGTCATTAAATATTTATTTATTTCTGAAAAAATAATTATTTTTTAAAACATACCTGCGCCCTCTACCAACCAAGTTTCTAGTTACTTTCATATTAAGGCAGAAAACTTTAGAGCTCACTGTAACTATATTTGCAATGCATTGAAGTTCAGTTATATCCCAAGAGATGTCGCTGGATAAGTCATGTTGAATTATTTTTAAAGATTAAAGTAATAATAATGATTAATTATGATGCCTTAGAATGAAACAATTTCTACAAACAGTTTAAAACCTCAAATATAAAGTATTTTACGTTTGTGATGTATCAGACAATATACAAAAATAATTTTACAGGACTGCAATTTTTTTTAATCATATCTACGGAGAATTAGGTAATTATCGAATGGTTGGAGTAATTAAATTCACTAAATTTCATTATGTAAATAAGTGTGAAAACAGCAATAAATTATAGTACGTTGGGGAAATTTTCCAAATGCTAATATTAACGTATGTAATTTCAGGGTGCATATAATGCACCTTTGTTGGGGTCAAATGAAGTAAAAATTACCTAAGATGTCTGCTTGAAATTGTTTTTTATAAATTTCGAAATATTGTTTACTTCCACCTCTTCCTTTATTATTGGAATGTATTTAAGGGCAGCTCTGTATCTGTATATTACTTACTTGTTCAATACTTAATCAATTTATTTTTTTATTTCCATAATTTCATAGAACGTAATCACAGACCAAATAGCTATCGCCAAGCTATATTGTCTGTGACGTAATAGACAATATATGCATTATTTTTGCTGTAATTTACCTGACAATTTCATTACAACTAGATGACACTGATTATTATGGGTAGGTATTTCAATTGTTTGTTTGCAAAAGGCAGGCACGCCTACATTATCAGAGTTGCCATCGTACAAAAAGTAGAATGTTACTTCAATTACATATGTCTGTTAGGCAGATTAAATTACAGTGGTCTAGTATCAGATAACACGTAAAAACAACAGTTTCGCTAACGCGACCTGACAAGGTTTGGGTATACGAAAGGCATGTTTATTATGCAGTTACGTACTTAGCGTAATGGTGAGCACTGCATTAAATTTGCAGTTCCGTGCAACAATGTAGAGCTATTTGTTATACAGACGTGAGCAGATACCAGATTTATAAATTTATTAACTCTGTTCGACTAATGCAGGGCAGGTTAACTGATTTATTTCCGAGAAAAGAGAAAATTAATTAACAAACGTGTTGTAGAGAAGATTAGTTAATAGACTGAATTAGGATCAAGCTTTATTTTATTTGTAGCATGTTTTACAAAGTCAAGATACGTATTTCACAACTTCACATTAATTTAATATTTTTTTAATGGAATATATTATTTAAATTAATATTTAATGTGTTGTAGTTAGAAGTTATATTTTTACTACGAAAACCAATGCAGCGTTAATTTTTTTTGTAGACGGTAAGACTTTTTTAATCTGTAGTGAAAATTTAAAGATTGAGGTATTATTT